CCTAAGAGGGACAGAACATGGAACATATCACAGGACAGCCCTAAGATGGACAGAACATGGAACATATCACAGGACAGCCCGAAGATGGACGGAGCATGGAACATAAAACTATGGAAGACCCAAAAAGAGCTGTTTGCATTTAGACCAAGCATAAGGTTTTTAGGTCATACGCTGCGACCTGACAATAACAAAAAAATTTAAATTGAGTTATGAAAACAAGGGTCAAATGGTCAGAGCATACGTCAGATGATTTTTTTGTGATACATTTTTAAGTTTTAATAAAGAAAGAAGGATTAGATCCTCTGATCTGAATAAATATTTACTTATCAAAATTTAAAATGTGCTTTTTTAAAAATGTATTCTAAATTAATACTTACTAATAATTTTTAAGTGATAATTTGATGCAGTATGTTTTCTTTGAAAAATAAAAAATTTTTTTTATCATGTTGACTTTTTTGGGGCAATATTTCCTTGAATGATATGTTGTCTACAATTAGCCTTAACTTTTTATTTATGAGGCTATCCTTTTAAAATTTTGAATATGTATTGTAGTATTGAATATGCTAATGAATATGTATTGTAGTATTGAATATATGCTAATGAATATTTGTCGTAGTATTGAATATATGAATATGCTAATGAATATACATTGTAGTATTGAATATATGCTAAAGAATATGTATTGCAGCATTGAATATATACTAATAAATGTTTTGCAGTATTGAATATATGCTAATTGAATATGTGTCATGGTAATGAATATATGCTAATGAATATGTTGTTGTTTGTCAGTCGGAAGTTGACCATGTGCAGTAGGTGCAGGGGAATGATGGCGCATCTCCGGGAGCAGAGTCAGACAGGGCCTTCCTTGCATGTCTCTTTCGCTCTGCAGCCGCTGTTCTGCCAACTTCATGTTGTACGGAGCTCCCATGCAAAGTAGAACGCCATGAAGTTCGATCCTTTGCCTGTTCCTCCCACGCGTCTGGGTTTATGTTGAATGCTTTCAGTGAAGCTTTTATGTTGTCTTTAAAGCGTTTTTTCTGTCCGCCAGCAGACCGCTTTCCTTGTTCAAGCTCACCATAGAAAATTCTTTTGGGAAGACGGTCATCTGACATTGTCACAACATGCTTTGAAATAAATACTGCATCAAATTATCACTTAAAAATTGTAGTATTGAATATAT